CACAGAATCCAGTCCAGTTATATGAGACAACCCAGAATTTCTGAGGAAATAAATATACATTTCATAAAGACTTTTTGTTCTTAAATAATAATTAATAAATTAAAAAAAAATTAATACAATTTATTAGACATGTTTCAGTATTTTAAAATTTTGAATTAGTTTGCTCCATCCAAGTTATTTAAATTTCCTATTTAAATCCATGTTGTTGGTTTATTATGTGTGTGTATGTAGTTGCGTGCTAATTCTTTACATGCTAATAATGTTTAGTAATGTAGAGTAACTAACTATAATGCTAATAATGTTTAGTAATGTAAAGTAACTAATGTAAAGTAACTAATAATAATGTTGCATAATTCTGTTCATTCTTTAGGGTCAAACTACCTCTGCAAAGACGCTTCCTGATCCAGCTCAACCAACTGTCACACAGTCACTTGCAAAAGGAATTAAGATAGATCCAACATCCAAACAAGCAAAAGAATTGAATCATGCTGTAGCTTATTTCATTGCTAAAGACATGATGCCCTTTAGAGTAGTGGAAAAACCTGGCTTTCTTCACCTGATTAAGAAGGCAGTCCCAATGTACCAGGTACCATCAAGAACATACTTTTCCACCAATGAAATCCCTCGCATGTACAAAGAGGTAAGGGCCAGTGTTGAAGAACAGCTGAAGGAAGCTGTGTGGATTTCAGCCACCACAGACCTGTGGACCAGCAGTAGTGGGGATGGGGAGCCATTCATAAGTTTTACAGTCCACTACCTTTCCTCGGATTGGCAGCTTAAGTGCCATTGTTTGGAGTCTAATTTTTTTCCTGAAGACCACAACTCAGAAAACATCTCCGAGATGTTTGATAGTATGCTCCAGGAATGGAAGATTTCAAAAGAAAGTCTGTGCGGAATTACCACAGACAATGCAAGCAATATGAAGAAGGCCTTTGCAGAGTTCCCATGTGTTTGGCTCACTTGTTTTGGTCACAATTTAAATCTGGCCATTAGCAAAGCCTTGAAGATCCAAACGGTTGAATCTGCAGTAAGGGCATGCAGACACTTGATTCAAGGATTTTCTCGGAGTTGGAAAAGGAAAAGAGAATTTAAAAAAAAACAGGCAGACCTGGAACTCCCTGAGCATGCCCTCATCCATGACGTGGTAACAAGGTGGGGATCAACTTATGAGATGATCTCTAAATTCCTGGAGCAACAACAAGCTGTCTGTGCAGTCCTGGCTAGTGACAGAAGTACATGGCATTTCATGCCAAAAGATAGTGACATTGCCACTCATGAAAATGTCAATCAGCTCCTTCAACCACTCTATGACCTCACTGATACCCTGGCATCGGAGAAACGGGTCACACTCTCCTCACTCACACCGGTACTGGAGCACATTTGCAGCGAAATCCTCTCTGAGCATGCTGAAGACAATCTACTAATCAGACAGATGAAGCAAGTAATGAGAGAAGACTTGCAAGGGAGATACACAGAACAGGTGGAACGAGTGCTACAAATCTCCAGCTTTGTGGATGCCCGATTTAAGGGAAGCTTCTGTAAAAACCTGGATGACACAGTTGGGGCATGTGTGGAAGAAGCTGTGAATCTTGCTAAAGTTCCTTTGGATAGAGAACATCTTCAAGCAGAAAGAGGAAAAAATTGGACAGAAGCAGGAGGCAGCAGTACTACCACCACCACCACCAACACTAAAAAGAAAGAGAAAAGTCTATCTGGTTTGCTACAGCGAATCACTTCATCTAAGCAGAACAAGGCAACCTCAGGAAATGAGAACGTCAGTGAAAAGGTGATGTCTGAAATGACGATGTACAAGTCTCTTCCAAGCATCAGCGCAAACACTCACCCACTGGCATGGTGGAAAATGCATGCTGATGAAATGCCTCTTCTGGCAAATGTGGCCAGAAAGTATCTTTCTGTCCCTGCCACGAGTGTACCTTCGGAGAGGATGTTTAGTACAAGTGGACACATTCTCTCACCTCAGAGGTCAAGAATGAGCCCTGAAAATCTCAACATGCTTACATTTCTTCATCATAACCTGACCTGAAAAAAAGCATAGAAATGCAGGTTGCTATGATAATCTCAGGAAAATAATAACATGACCCAGCACATTTTTCTCTCCCATATTAAAGAGGAAGGACAGTTTTGTTTATTGTTGTCAAATATAAAGAGAAATAACTTATTCCTTATTTTGTTCAAATGGGAGATGTGCAGCTTTATTGTTCTTTTTCTTCCAAAGGTAGATTCATACTTCCAAGTTTTCTTATTTTCATAAAAAATGTTTGTTACAATAAACCATGTTTAACCAAAAACCATATCTGTTTTTATTCATTTAAGGGTCATTGTAGCTGATGCTGATTATAACAATAATGATAGTTTAATATCGTATACCGTGAAACCGTGATATTTTCTGAGACGATTATCATACCGTGAAAATCTCATACCATTACAACCCTATGCGTGTGTTTTACAAAGAACCCTTAAATAGCCGACTTCCTGTTGGGCTGGGGTAAAAAGTAAAAGTGCGAAGTATATATGAAACGATGAGATCAATATGTGTACCGAGTTTCATATTATTACATGCAAGCGTGTTTGATTTATGGACCAAGTTTTCAGACCCCATTCAAGGGGGCGCTGTCAAGCCCCCCTGCCACGCCCGGGTACCAGCTTCAGCTCGGCTCTGATGGCCGTGGGTTCTGACCGGTGTGCAAAGTTTCAAGAGTTTTCGAGCATGTTAAGGGCCCCAAAAGTGCCTGAATAGTCGTAAGAAAAATAATAATAATAATAATAGAAAAGAATAACCCTAAGGAAAACAATAGGGTCTTCGCCCTTTCAAGGCTTGGGCCCTAATAATAATCCTAAGGAAAACAATAGGGCCTTCGCCCTTTCAGGGCTTGGGCCCTAATAATAAGTTATTAAAACATCTAACATGGCCACCACAAACACATCTAATTTGTCTTTTACTTTTGCCAGCACTCTCTCCTGGCTTTTGCACACTTTGAGGTGTTCCCTGGCGTTTTAATTAAAGACTGAAATTCGGCATAACCTTGCATTAAAAGAGCTTGCTCGGTTTAGGGAAAAACTGGGCGTGTTCTTTGGCCAAGCTGAACAGCCAATAGCAGCGTTGCTGATCACTGGTTCTGCTATCGATACATGTCCCCTTTTAAACCAACGTGAGAATGCGCAGTTATCTCAGATAACTCAATCCAGCGATACTAATCATAAACAACAGGTGTGTTCGAAGAACCCAATTAGCCAGATCATGATTAGCACGCTGATATTATCTTGGATGTCTCATTTGATCTCGGATGTTTTAAGCAACGTACGAAGAACGAGCCCCAGGACTGAATGCGTGTTCCTGCGATTCCCTTAAATCTAATGTAACACTTAACTCAGTTACATTCTGCTTTCATTTATATCATCATTTCTTTTAATTCACTGACTTAAACTGCTTTTCTAATTCAAAACAAGCCAATATAATAAGCAAGCTATATAAGCAATATAAACAAGCTAATATAAGGCTAATTTTTCTTTACATTTTATGCACGTCACAGTCTAAATTAACTTGGGTCCTGAAGGTCCACTAATCTAACACGCCTGATCAAGCTAATCAATGCCTTCATGATGACTAGAGGGTAAAAACTAAACCCTAACTTCACCCATATCTAACCCAACCCTAATTTAACATAACCCGTATCCACTCTAACCTATTCCAACCCTAACCCACATCAAAATCTAACCTAACCCTAATTTAACATAACCCGCATCAAATCTAACCTATTCTAACCCTAACCCTTACCTTAACTCATATCTAATCTAACCCAACCCTGACCCTAATTTAACCTGTATTTAATCTATCCTAACCCTGACTTAAAGGGTTAGTTCACTCCAAAATGAAAAATTCTGTCAGAAATGACTCCCCCTCACGTTGTTCCAACCCGTAAGACTTTCGTTCATCTTCGGAACACAAATTAAGATATTTAATTTGCTGGTGGTGGTCCAAGTGACTACAGTGGCTCAATCTTAAGTTTATCAAGCAACGAGAGTACATTTTGTGTGCACAAAACAAACGAAAATAACGACTTTATTCAACTATTAATTTCCTTCTATGTGGGCCTCGAGATAGTTCCGTAGTGTAACAGCGTAGCGCTTATGGGTTGTACACGCAGGCTCACTATTGACCAAAGCTGGTCATGTGTGTGATGACATACAACACAGAGGCCCACAGAGAAGGAAAATAATAGTCACTAATAGAAAGGCTATTAAAACTGTCCGTTTATGTTCTCTCTTCAAAATAATTGAATAATGTAAAGGTCTTGCATGTTTTTGAGTGTAAATTTTATTTATTTCTTTTATTATTATTTATTTATTTTCTCTTTATTGTTTGTTTTCCTTTTCTTTATTCCCATGGCTTTATATTGTTTGTTGTATTGTTCTATATATGTTGTTTAATGCATAATAAAAAAAGAAAAAAAATAATAGTTGAATAATGCCGTTATTTTTGTATATATATACAAAAAAAGAACTAAATTATTAATAGCTTTATAACAACAAAAATGAACCATCACTGAACTCACTTTAGCTGGACTGTGACGCTATTCTCTTCTGGATCTGCTGTACAGCTGATAGAAACAAAGATGACTTCACTGACTGAGACTAACCTAGCATTTTTATTTTAATATGCGAGTGAACATTGTTTTAGCTCTGATTTTATGCTCTTGTCAACACACAGCTTTGCTTTATTGCTGGCAACGTTAACAAACTAGTGATCAGATTTAATAGACGCTTTAAGTCGTAATAAATAACTACAGCAATAGCGACAGATTACAGAAGAAGCTGAGTTGTTTTGACAGCCCATCATATTTCTCATGGGGTCACTGATCAATGAGGTTAGTGTTATTATGCTTATGGCATAAAGCGAGATCGGTTATGTAATGATAAGTCATGTTCAGACCGTCCAGGGTTTTTGTTATGGTTATGATTATAATAAGTAATGTTCAGACCGTCCAGGGTGAGCTGGTCTTGTTCGCGGGGCGCGCGCTGCTCGTGCTCGTCTTCCTTCATCTCCACATCTTCCACATCTTTCTCCGCGCGCACTTTCTCGCGTTTCTTCGCCGTCGCTTCTTTCATGTTGAGACTCAGATTCTGGAGTTCGGTCTCGTTATGCGATAATCAGGCACGTAAATAAATAGCTCGCTTGAATCCACACCGCACACCGTAATACGGAAGATGACTGGCAATTCTCACGGGTTGCAGTGCATTATGGGTCGTTTGTGTTCTTTCTCGTTGGTATTTCTGTGTGGATCTGATGGTGAGAGGAAAGTGCTGCCCTCTGCTGACAGTCACACTACATAAATGATAAACAGCAATACAACAAAACTAGTCTTACTGAACTGTGTCTGCACATTAAATGGATTTACTTCCTTAATGCATGTTACTGGTTTTATAGTGAACAATTAATTGATGCATGTAGCCTAACTCTTTTTTCTCAACACAAAATATTTCCTTTTTTCTTTTTCGTTTTTTTTCTTTTGCCACTCAGTCAGGCTGAGGGGGGTTGTTTTTTTTCTTTCAGTATTTGTTTTGTTATACAATAGTGCAAACCAGAGCCATATATTGAGAGAGTTCTGACACTGCCATAGACCGCCATTGTAACTTTTTATTATTATTATTATTGAACAATAATATTAACAACCATAATTGGCCTGATACAACATATGAACTGTCTTCTTAGACAACAGACAAGCACCTTCACATAGGAAGTAGAAAATACAAATACAGTAAAATAAAAATAAATAAATTAACAAAAAAAAATAGGGGCTTTCAGAAAGATTCACATCCTCTATCAAAGTAGATAAGATTAAGGCATTCTTTTTCTTCATCAATTTTAGCGATAGAAAGTAATGACACAATTCTTTATGAAAAACAAAAGTTTGGTAGTGTTTTCAGGAATCTATTCTTGGGTAAAAAAAAAAAATTCCCAAGAATAATAAGTGTGTTTACTGCCAAGTCAAGTGTTTCATCCTTCATAAAAATACCAAAAATTATATTTTCCTTTGTTAATACAGGTAAATCTTTAAATTTAGGAAATAACCAGTAATGCATATCCTCCCAGAAGGTATAAGCAAATTTACACCGCCATTGTAAAGGCCAATTTATACTTCTGCGTCGCGTGCGCGCAGTAGGCACGGCGTAGCTTACACACAGACGCGTACCAGGAATGCGGAAGTAACGTGTGTCGTGGACCCGCCCATAAGTTCAAACCACTGATAGTTCCAGCATTGAACCCATAAGGCCAATTTATACTTCTGCGTCGAGGGTACGCCGTAGTGCACGGCGTTGGCTACGCACGTAGGCGACGCCGTTGTGAGCATTTATACTTCTGCGGTCAGGTCTTGGTTGCTCTGCAGTAATGCTCCGAAACGCTAGTTGGCGGCGGAGGGTTTTAATGTTCCACTGTGTTTAGATTCCTCACGGCTAGGTTACTACAAGCAATATCGACTGAAAGAGAGCTGATCATGTTGGAGTTGGAGCTTATTGAGGTGGAAAAACAGTTTACTTTAGTGAAATTACTAAAACTGAAAGGCAGAAACGTGAGAAGATGTCGGAGGAGATGGTACGTGTGGAAATCATAGACAGTGGTGCAGATACCTCTGTGCAGATACCACTTGATGGCTATCCCGAGACCCATACACACAGACGTCTTCACCTGCGTATGAAGCCACCACTTCCAGAGAACAATGAGACCCACTGCCGAGCCAACTATCACCAAAGTAAAGAAGAAAAAATGCACAACGCAGAGTAAAGACTTACGGAACCTTCAGTCATCCATAAACATTATCAAGATGTAGTAACCACCAGGACATCGCACAAAGTGAAGACTCCACAATCCTCGTTTTTGCTGGAAACCTTGCAGGCCACAGCCGAAGATGGCGGCATTGACTCTCTTGTGCACAAGCATGATGGTTAAACAGTCTTGATCTTTCAGAAAAAAATTACACCAGATGTAACTGAAATTTAATTTTTCCGTAAGAGCTTCACAGACCCTAACTCTTTCCCCGCCAGCGTTTTAAAAAAAAGTTGCCAGCCACCGCCAGGGTTTTTGACGATTTTCGCTAAATTTGAATGCCCCGCTGAATATTTTCTTCCATGAATATATGAAGATGATATATATAAAAATAAAGATCTGAGCCTCTGCTTTTAGGCAAAAAAAACGTTTTTATTTTATCTTCATCTGTTCTTTTTTTATTGCCTCTTGAACAAAGGTAGGTTTTGTCAAAAACACAACATTTTGGACAAAAAACTGAGAAAAAGGTATTTTTATCAAACAAGTGCATTTAAAAGCAGAATACATTCAGATGTTGTTTCCTTCATATATAAAACTTTCCAAAATAAATTAAAAACATAAAATAAATGTAAAATATATCAAATTTCCCAGGATGTAAGGGAAATGTAACTTTTGCAATAAAACTTCTGCCTCTGCCTCTCTGTGTTCTACCTGTGAATAATGAATAATTGGAATTACAATAAACAGGCCTAGACACACACACACACAAATACATATTACAATGTGGTAAATGTGCACAAAGAGAGAAATAATTTGACAATTACACCTTCATATTTAGACAGCCACACATAAATGCCTGCACACACACATACATATTATAGTGTCATAATATTATACGATCTATCTGCGGCACGTCCATGGCTAGAACTTTCTGTGACAACATGTGCATCTCTCTCACTGACTACTTCGTCCCGATCAGATTCAGAATTATCAAATAAAGAGTGATCGGACTCCGAATCCATTAACCTCCAGTACTTCAGTCATATACCTCTGCATTGTCTGTCTGATACATTCTCACTACTCCACTGTTTGAGACGATTGCAATCTGTTTCTAGTTGCGCACTCATTCAGGACATGCGCGCGGGTCTTCCTTACCGTATACCACCTAAAACACGGATACCCGGAAAATTCCGTGTTTGGCGCAGATGCGTTTTTTCATTAAACCCGGAAAATTCCGTGTTTGGCGGGGAAAGAGCTAATTGCATGTTTGTTTTCTGTGTCAGCATGTAATTACAGAAAAAGCAAACACAGAACATAAGTATGTGCCTGTAACTAGCACAGGTTACATGAATGAACTTTCTTAAGTGTTTAAATTTGTACATAATGTGAGAGTTATTAATACTCTCAAAAGGGGGGACTGAAGGAATACAAATGTATTAAATGTTTCATTAAGGTTTAACAGTATTTTCAACTGTAAAATGTATACAGTGTTTACCATTTTGAGGCCAATAAGATTAAGCCTAGCATTCCAGGTGTCACACATTAGCTTTTGTCTTTATGCACTTCCTGGCCATTAAGTTCAAGATTCAGCTTTGCTTTTGTAATGGTAAAAGTGTGACCACGCTGGTCAGACTGATTAGATTAGCATCTCTGGTAATCTGCTGAATCATTTACATTTGCTTTGTTTCAGTTTCTCCCCCCTCAATGTAAACTCCTCCCCTCTAAATGTATAAATTGTAAGGGAATATTTTCCCTTAGTCAGACTTACTTTGAGATGACTACAGTGACGCAATAAAGAACTTCTGCGTGAAAGATACCTTAAGAGTCTCCTGGTCTGTTGCGTGGAAGAAGAAAAACTTCACTACACAATGAAATGAAAAAAAAACGGTTTATTTTCAGTTTAATTCTTTATTTACTTTCTTTATAAGAGTATTATAATTATCAGAACGAGGGTGCAAATGTTAAAAATAGCGCTATAGTGGGAGGGGGAACTACACTCCTGAAATTATGTATAATCTGACCAATCAAAGCCCTTGCTGTCTGCGTCGCCTCCACGCGTAGTTACAAATTTTTGGAGGTGCACGTCGAGCTACGCCGGAGGGGTCGGAGAGGGGTTCGTGTCGACGGATAGGGATCTGCGGGGGTACGGCGTCGATTCGACGCAGAAGCATAAAACAGGCTATAGACATAATACATAGACGCCCTATTGGCCGCTGGAGCGTACGTCAACGGCGCCGCCATATTGGGGAGATCAACTTTCCCATACCTCTCATACCGGGAATTGAGAAAAATGCCTGTTTTGTGCGCTGCTTGGGGCTGTAAAAATCGCCACACAACTGAAAACAGCTTTCGAGGAAGTACCTTTTACAAGCAAGACTGAACGTTTGTTTTTGGTTGTATTTGGTCATGATTTAATTAGTAAGTAACGTTTAGAGATTAAATACTACTGTTATTGTGTCACGCAATGTAGTTTTAATAGTTTTTCAGTCGACAATGTAGTTGTTTAAAGCTCAAATATGTGGTTTGTTTATAAAGATAGGGCCTATTTAAAAATTTGATCTGAAGTTTTCGGAGTTGCTGCGCCCCCGCCCAGCGCTCGTCTCCCCCGCCTGGAACAGCCGTACCACGGCCAGTGCTTCTGACGGTTGCCGCTGGCTCGGATGTCTCTAGTCTAGAGGTTAAACATGAGATATAATTCGTATAATTTGTGTTTATCTTTGGTCTCATTAATCTATTAATGGTTCCCTGGTAAATAGTTTTGGCTGAAGGCAAAGTAAAGTTTCATAACTTTATATTTAGGCTATTTTAACAGTATGTTTGACTGAAGCTATTTCTGTTATAATGGCTAGCCTATTACTGATCAATAAAACTGAAATTTAGCACAAAGAGCTAAATATTAAATATATTTTTTGTGTGTGTTTATTCTGTAGTTGAAATGTCTTATTCTATTGCTATTATTATAGAATTATTAATAAACTATTATCAATATTTTTACATGTATTCATTACCATTTTATTTGCTGTAAACTATTTGTTTATTTTATTGACTAAACTATTTACTAGTACTTTTCACTTTATGTTATAATTACTATTTGCATTGCACTGCATGCCCAGTTGTACCACAACATATGTATTATCATAAATGATCCATCAGTTAACAATGTTATTGCTAAAATCTGGTCAATCACATAAAATGCTTTTTCCACAATGAGCAAACTTAAATATCTCAGTATGGGGATCTTCACCATTCTTATCCAAGAATGTTTTTATCCAGAAAAACGCAGCTCACCCGTTTACTTACATTTAATTACAATGCAGTCTTGACCTCCGCAAAATGGCGGACCCGTTGACGTATCGCAGCAACGTTCCGCGGGCGTCTATGTATATATTATGGCTGCGTCCAAAACCGCATACTCAATGAGTAGGTACTTAATTTCAATAAGTACTTACTCAACGAGCGCTAAAAGAGTAGGTACTTTATA